TTGCATATTTCACCAAATATTCCTACAAGCAGAGCTGCACATTGCTCACGATTCAAGAGCCACCAAGAAGCTGGATGTGCTTCTTGTGAGTCAGCTTTCCTTCCTTTCCCTGCATCATTTAGGAGGTTATTAACAACACAAGCCCAGGCAACACAGAGGTCTCTAATGGAAATTAAACAGTTTCTCAGGTGTGTCTACACATCATGAATGGGTGTACAGGCTGTCACAGAGCAAGGGGTACCCAGTGTATTCCTTCCCCTCTCTGCTTAAAACTTTTGCTCCACCATACACCAACTCCTGGTCTTTCACCTGGCAACCAACAGCCCAGAAAATTCAGAAAACAGAACTTTTTCCTGCAAACCCCACATTTCTGACTCCTCCCTACACTTCCATAAAAGCAATTACAAGCACTTTGTTTTCCATCTTAATTGTCATTTCCTTTGATAAAACTTGCAGCCTAAGTCTAAATGCTCAGATAACTAATGCCATTATTTTCTCTTCTTCATCATCCCTGGTCACAAACTGTATTGCTTGTACCAGGGTCAGCAGTTCCTTAAAAACCTCTTGAGCCAAACTGTGCAGCTGCATTGTGCAGGGAGTTATCAGCAGGCTGCAGGAAGGTTAGAAAGCAAACCTGCCTCCCTACGAGACCAAAGTTATGCCTGGAGTCAAAGCCCCGTCCTGTTTCCCCTCCTGTGGGGAGATAACAGCCTGTTCTACACCAGCTTTTCCCTCACACAGCTTTCTGCTGTGCACACAAGCTGGGCTAAGCAGAAGTTTTAGCCCCACTCCCTCTTCTGTCCCTGTCCTGGTCCCCGTGTTCCCACAGGAGCAGATTTTTCCATCTCCTGCCATGAGTACTTCTCATTTAGGCGATCTACAGACGTTGTCTTCTTCGTACCAACACCAGGAGCTGTGTGTGATCCATGAAGGTGGCAGGAAGTTGGTCAGTATTCAGCAACAGAATTCAGTCTGCAATCCTTTTGCAAAGAAAATGCTCCAAACAAGAGGGGTCTTTCCCCTCCCAACATTATCCCAAGCCCAAATACATTCATCCTTCACAGTGACTGCTTGCTACTGGCACCCTTCATGCTCTGCAGGATGCAAGTCAGTCCAGGAAGGGCAAGGCAGTCAAATTCATGTCCTATGGGATTAACATAAACTGTATTTTATGATTCATAGTCCAGCAGCTATATGTTTTATCACAGGTATAAACTCCTGCTCCTCCTGCAGGAACTGCATGTTGGCACAAAGAGTGGGGTGAACATTGTCCGTCCCTTAACATGGGACCAGTGGTACAAGTACCACTTGTACTCCCATACATTTACATTCCTGACCAATTCAGCCACACCAGCTGAAGTAAAAAACTCCCTCTGACCCAAGTCAGATCTTGATTCCTCCTCTAGAGAGCAAAAATAGCAAAATCAGATCAACCTGCTCTGCCAGTGTCTACATGGCCACCTCTGCCTCAGTTACAGGCGTCCCCCACCCAAACCGTCCAGGGATGAAATTCAAGCAAGGAAAGATTAGGTGAGAGGTGTATGAAATGTCACCTTCCCTTTAATCACAGCTTATGGATCCATCCCAAAGCATTACTCATGCAGTGCTCCACACTCCACATTGTGTATAATCCCACTGCCTAATCCAACTACTTGTTCAAACAGGCACGTTGCTAGGAGTGGGTCCTTGCCACCACTGGGAGCATTCCTTCAAGACCACGTCCTCTCCCACACCTAGAAGGACCACAACAGCCACAAAAAACCTGCAGGAAAGGTAGAGCAAGCGTGGTGCACACACAGCTCATCCCTTCAACACGACACAGCCCATGGCCATCCTCTCCCACGCTGCCAGATCACGCTGGGGAAACACTTCAGTTGTGGTAAGCAACAGATAAGCATCTCTGCACCGACACAGAAAAAGCATCTCAGCTGGTAGACTTTTAAAACCGGTATTTATTGTGCCTCAGGGAAGAAAATAAATTGGCTAAATGGGCTGAAAGGCACAGCTTCACTAGGAAGAGCTTGGATTGTCTCTTTGCATCCTTCAGTACAAACCCGGCCATTGAGAGGCCAGATCTAAAACAGAGCCACAGTTGCTAAGAAAACAGCACTGCAAACAGATGTCAGGAGATGATTCATGGAGTAAGGGCATATCTCTGTACTACAGATAAACCAAAATGAATGAGGCTCTTTATACCTGATCTCCCAAGCTGGCCATCTTCATCCCCGCTTTGGGACTTTTTCTTTAGTTCCTTTCTATATTCAGATGTTGAGGAAACTGTCCAGAGCTGAACTCACTGTTTACGGAATAATTACTAGTAAAGGGGTTTTACAACATGCATGATTAACTCTATAAATGGGCTAAACTGTGGCCAATTTTCCCCCTAAAACAATGTAATTTTCTCCCAAAGCATGCAAGCAATCTTTCCCAAAACATATGAGGAGGAGTAACACAAAAAACACAGATAAAAGCTGCAAAGAAACAAACAGTAACTGGTGGGGTTTTTTTCCTTACTTTCTCTTTCAACATAAAACTTAAAATTAGCAGCTAGGGAGATAAAGCATTTTCAAGCTATTAGATCATTAGCCAGCAATGCACACTGCTCCTTGAATTACTTCATTGTGTCTCTGCTTAAAATCTTTGCCTGACAAATAAATAAAAATTAGTTGGCACACTATAGGACCGGTCAAGTGCTACTGACACCAACAAAAGTCTCAGTTACTTTACTGAACTTTTAGTCAGATTTAATAGGAGAAAGATTAGCTCCTTTCTTAGAATATCCAGAATCATGTAACATCCTGCGTTAGAAGGAACCCCCAAGGAGCATTAAAATACAGTTCCTTCGCCCCTCTTAACACCACCATACTCAAATCTTAGCACTGTATGATATCAGCAGCACTTAACATAGAGTTTCTTCAGGGTATTTGTAAGGAATTGTCTAAATAAACGAACTTCAATACATGTTTTTATAGAAAACTCAGGTAAAAAGGTAATTATCATTCATTACCATTCATTAGGAAGAAGGGAAGAACGAACATTAATTTATACACTTCTGAATAGGTGTTTGTACAGTATTTCACATGAGGGAGGCCCAAACACTGCCACTGCACACATCAGTACATGGTGACACGTTATTGTAGTCACTGCTGGTGTTTCACCTCCAAATTCCAGTGCCACCACCCATGCCTCTCTCTTCAACTCATTCCCACTGCCACCACCTGCAGATGCCAGGGCTTCCTCTCCCCTGCCACCTCCTGCTCCCTCCACACCACCCCATCCTCTCCTGCTATGACACGCCGCCTTCTGCCTCAGAAATCAATTATTTAGGCTGCCCTGATTTCAGCCAGAGGTGGCTGTGTGTGCAGATACTGTTCTTGTGAGCAGAGTTAACAGCTGCCACACTGCTCCTTCCCAGAGCTAACAAAGCCACCCCAGAAGAGGCTGAAGCCCATGACACAGCTAACCAGGCGCCAGCAGCCGCGCGTCGCTTCTGCAGGAATTGCATTTCACACAGAGATGTCAACAGACTTGCCCGCCAAGCTACGGCTCTGCTCACTTGGCCAACAGTCACAATAACGAGCCGGGACGCTGCACGTGGCACTCACGTCTTTGTCCGTCTGTCTGTCCTGCAAAGATCACCCTGTGAGCTGAGAGGGAGGAAAACTTAGGAACAACAGAAAGAAGGGGAGAGGACAGGAGGGACATGGGGAATGAGGAAAGCGGAGGCATGAGGAACACACAGTCCCAGACATGATAAAGGCTGTGGGAAACTCTAACACTTGCTCAAAGTTTTCTCTCTGTAGATTCCCAGTAACTTGAGGAGGGTGCACCTGCTCTACTTCCTGATGCCTCCAGCAGCTCTCGGGAAAAACAGAGAAGAACCATTCAGTTTGATTCAGAACGATTCAGACTGAGCCCAGGTTTAGTTTTGGAGGTGAAAGGAGGACAAAGGAGCCTTCCCTTAAATCTACAAACACACACACAGAGCACCTGGCACTAAGTCAGCACCAAGTTACAGACAAGGAGCCCCATGTGCGGCATCCCATGAGCTGGAATAACACAGATCCGTAAAAACTGCTCCGAGAGGAAGCCGGCGGCTGCCAGGAGCCTGGAAAGACGGGAGGAAGGGAGGGAAGGCAGGAGGGAGGCTGGCAGCGAGGCGGGAAAGAGAAAGGAGCCCATGTGCAGCGGGCAGCACAGAGCGCGCTCAGCGGGCAGCAGCACCGGCAATAATAACACACAGCGCAGGGAGATTCCCGTGTCTCCTGCGGCCCTCCCGGATGAGCAATCGCTCCCTTTTCCCGAGAACTTTGCCTGAGTAAGTTTGCACGATCAGTTCCCAAACACACAACCCAAGAGACACCGATGTTCCCAGCGGTACCCAGCGCTCCCCGGGGAAGCGCCGATCACCTGCCCGCACCCCCTGCGCGCTCCCCGGCCGCGGGACGAGCCGGCCCCGGCCGGAGCTGCTCCGGCAGCGGGGCCCCGCTCGGGAGGGCAGGGCAGGAGCGCGGGGGCGGGAGCTCGTTCCAAGCTCCTTCCAAGCCTGCTCCAAGCCCGTTCCAAGCCCGCTCCAAGCCCGCTCCCGCCGCCGGCCGAGCCCGCCGCGCTCCCCCGCGCAGCCCGGCGAACTCCCGCCGCTGCCCCGCCGCGGTGCTTCCCCCTTTTCCCCGGTTCGGCAGCGCTGGGAGAAGGGGGGGGACGCGCTCCGGGAGCGCGGTCTCTCCATCCGCGCCCCCCGCGCAGCGATGTCCCGCGGGGGGCGCGGGCGGTGCCGAAGGTGCAGCCGGCACCGAGGGAACAAAGGCGGCGGCGGCGGGGAACAAAGAGCGGCAGGTACCGGCGCGGCGGAGGGCGCGGGCAGCGGAGCGGGGCGGCGGCACCGGCCAGCCGGGCCGTAGGGGCCGGAGCGGGCGGGCAGCGCCGCCGCTCCCGCACAAAGGCGCAGCCGGGGCCGCGCCGCAACTTCCCGCGGGCGGGTCCCGGCGGGGCAGACTCACCGCGGGCGCAGTCCCGGCATCGGCGGCGGGCGCGGGTGGCGACGGGGGGAGGAGGAGGAGGAGGAGGAAGGACGGAGCGGCCGCTCCCCGCCCCGGCCGCTGCCAGCGAACGAGCGCGCTCCCCGCCCGCGGGCCGGAGGGCGGCGCGGCCCCCGCAGCCCGGCCCGGCCCCCGCAGCCCGGCCCCGCCTCCGGGAGCGCCCCCCGCCCGCGGGACACCCGGCACGGCCGCGGGGTCCCGGCCGGAGGAGGGGACGGGACCGGCTCCCCGCGGCCGCCTGCGCCCACCGGCCTCGGCTCCGGCGTGCGGCGCTTCCCGGTGTTTTCCCTCCCGGCGCTTACCGGGACGGCGCTGCTCATCCCGCCCCTCGTGGACAGCCGGGCACGGCCACGGGCGCTCGGTGTCCATGTGCTTCGGAGGAAGGACTTGTGCTGGAAGTAAGAAAACCTGTGTGTTGTAGGAACCGTTTTCCGGTCTGGGAATGTTTGGGGTTACAGGTGATAGACAGAAATAAAATACTTCGTCACAGATGTGCAGCACCCCCGAATCAAATTTACCACATCACCGGAGACTTCTCCAGTTTCTGCACAGCCTCCACAGCCCTCCCCAAGCTGAGCTCTCCTCAGCTCAGGCACAGACCCCAGGTATGACCCATTTACCTCTCTCTTCCAGATTCAGACTTTCATCAAGTTTAGGGATAGCATCATCTGGCTGTGCTAAGTCAGAACTCTGGAAGGCAGATGGGGGTCAGTTATGTAAACATAAGTTGGGGGTCTTTTTATAGAACTCAGACGAGGGTTTGTGGAGGAGGGAAAAAAGGAATTCCTTATATTTGTCCCATTTTTTACTGGATATCTTTTGGCTGGAGACTTCACAAAGTGAGAAAATACAAATATTGGGATTAAACTGTTTTACACACCCAGAGGTCAACCAGCTATTCAAAGGAAATATAACTTTCCAAAAGTCACTTCCTGCCAGTGTGAATTCATTGTGCTTCTCCTCAATCTGTGCTAGTAAAACATCAACCACTTTAAAGGAGGGAAGCGAGTAAGATCCTTTATTTGAAGACTACAAAACCAAATGTGCCTGCTTTCTCAAGCTTCTCTTTATACCCATAGATCTGCCTAAAGAAAGTCTGCAAGATTTGTAGCCCTGATTTTCTGCAAGGAAATTTTCCAGGCAAAAGTGAATCCTGCTCCCTTTCAGTGTCATTTCAGCTGGAGCCTGAGAATGCACTGACTTGCAGAAGCAACAATCAAAGCTGGCTACAACTTGACCGCCCTGCCTTGGCAACCACCTGGTCAAAATCATCAAAATCGTGCTTTGTTGCCATCCTGGCAACAAACCAACCCGTGATGGTTCTTTGTGTACTTTTTAAACTTGTTTTATTGAGGATTAACTAGTGTTTGTATAGTGTTTGTATAGTGACACAGCTCTCTGGTGCTCCATGGACACAGCTGAAGGCAAAGGCCTTTGGGCTATGCTGTGGTTTCCTAATTCCTGTGTTATGGCTACTGTAATGCATATCCTCAAAGTGAAACAAATATTTCTGACTGATCTATGGCTTTTGCCAGTTTTCTGGTAGGAGGAAGGAGAAAAAAAGATACAGTATCAGAACCAAGCTGCAATACTTGAAGAGTTATTTCAAGTCCCCTGTTGATCACTTGAGGGTCTTGCACATGCTATGAAATTCACCAGAAGTCATCTCATGGAGCCTTGATCTTTTATGCCTTGGAGAACACCATCCCACATTATCTCTCCATGTTCTTCTCACTGACTTCACCATGCCATGAATCACAGGGCTCCTCATCCCAGCATACACAGCACAGGTCCCAGCCCAAGGTGCTTGTTTTCACTCAGATTACACATTTCATAACTCGCTTGTAAAGCACTTTGAAGATATGACACTGAGTGTTGCTAACACAAAATGGTATTGTTGGACAGGTTTAACATGAGCAATTAAACAGTAATTCCATAAAAAAGGTGTGAGACACAAAGTTAGAATTAAGTCATATATGCCTACTTTGTCTCCAAATCTTCAGGCTGTTGATTCTCTGAAAATAAGCTTTCATCTCATCATTGCCAGGTACATGGGTGCTGCCAGCAAGGATAGCAAGTGGCTGACAGGGATCAGGCTTTGTGGAAGGTGAAGATCTGGAAGCTGTGAGAGCAGGGCTCTTGCCTGCTTTCTATGGCTGTCCAAAATGAGCTGCCTGGATGGATGCACAGACCACTGGGGAAAAGCCCTACAGAGCAGCACTGCCAGGCAGTGATGAATATAACTGCAGTGGGGATGAGGAGCCCTCACAATTCCCATGAAATGCCCTCCTAAAATAGGGTCTGATCAGTGCAGCGGTGATTCTTGCCTCACCGCCTTCCCACACTACCCAGAATGGCAAAGCCACTGAGCTGAATATTTCTTATATATCCAGGCAGTGATTGACTGGCACAGTGCTGATCTCTTGTTTTCTTGCTGGGCACTGGTGAGGCCACACCTCAGATCCTGGGTTCAGTTTTGGGCCCCTCACTACATAAAAGTCATTGAGGGGCTGGAGCGTGTCCAGAGGAGGGCAACAGAGCTGGGGAAGGGTCTGGAGCACAGGTCTGGTGAGGAGCAGCTGAGGGATCTGGGGTGTTTAGCCTGGAGAAAGTGAGAATCAGGAGACTTTACCACACTCTACAGCTCCCTGACAGGAGGCTGTAGGCAGGTGAGGGTCAGGCTCTGCTCCCAGGGAGCAAGGGACAGGGCAAGAGGAAAGAAACTGCCTTGAGTTGCACCAGGGGAAGTTTACACTGGATATTAGGAAAAAATTCTGTACCAAAAGGGTTGTGAGGCATTGGAATAGGATGCCCAGGGAAGTGGTGGTATCTCCATCCCTGAAGTGTTAACAAAGATGTGTGGATGTGGCACCTGGGGACTGGGTTTAGTGATGGATGTCATGGTGCTGTATTAACAGTTGGACTCAATGATCTCAGAAGTCTTTCCCAGTCATAATTGGAAGATTGGTCCATAGGTCCCACAGGGCTCAACAGCATGAGTTTCATGGTAGGACATTCCTTCCATAATGCAGAATTTGTATGTCTAGATTCAAGCATTGGAGGAAAATAAAATGTCCCCAAATCCCAACCCCAATCTACTCTAAATGATTGTGATGGCTGTGTAAACTAATTTTGTTTGGATACTCCAAGTTATGTTTGCTCTGCAGTCTGCCAGGAGAAACCTTTGGCTTAGTGACCCTCCTCTTTCCCCTGTGTGCAGCCCCCTGTGCTGTGCTAGCACGGTGTGTGTGCTGGAGCTGGAGCTGGGAACCAGATGAAAGTTAGTCCTGAAGAAGAATACTTTGTTTTGATCTGGATTGCTCCCAGGGTTTGATTGTGGTGCGGACACACAAAGAGGTATGTCAGCACGACAGAGGGGGCAGCAGGATCTAGCACAGGGACAGGAATGCACAGCAGAAGCTGGAGTTGGGAACAGGACACTAAGCAAGAAAACAAGAGATCAGCACTGTGCCAGAAACATCAGCCTCTGTGCTCAGCTGCTCTCTGCTCACCCCATCCCTTGCAGGAGAGAGAATTGGGAAAGGGGAAGAAGGGCTGAGAGTAGAAACTCACCTTTGGACTTTCCAAAGGACCTTCCATTCTGCTGGTGCAGCAACACCAAGGAAGTACGGATGCAGTTTTGCAGGCACCATTTTTGGTGACAGTGATTTGATGGACCAGTCAGGTTATGCTCCCTCTGTTGTGCTGGTGCAGCTCTTTGTGCTGTTGTGTTGTCAAACAGACCAGGAAACTGCTTTTAAAAAGCAGCACCCTCCCCTCCTCAGTTATTTTTACCCTGGCTCAGTTCCCAGACACAATTCACCTTGTCCCCACTGAGGTGCAACTAGAGGAAGAGTGCTGGAGTGGGAAAGTGTAGCCAGAAGCAATAAAACAGGGGTCTGCCTAAACCCACTGTGCCCCTCAAAAAATGCCTGTGGCCCAACACCTTGGGGGGAGTTTCCCTTCATCAATCACAGCCAGCTTGTTTGTCAGAATTAGATCAAAAAAGAGGAAAGGAAGGTTGCATCCATGCAGGCACATGCAACATTTGCATACTATTTTCCTCTGGAAAACATAAAAGGAAATGTGACAGTAATCATGTTAGAAATGCTCCCTGTTCCCCTCCCATTTGATCTAAGCTCTGTGTATCACACTGTCCCTGGCATGTAAGACGGCTCCGGCCGATCCTGGTGCTTTCTGCTGAAGTCAGTGGAAACACTTTGATGGTTACAGGTGCCCATGCCTAAATGCTCTGTTAGGTCACCAGCTAATTTTAGGACAGAGGAGCTCAGTGCCAAAAGAGTAAAATAGGTTAATGACACTTAAATCGCAGCAAATCTGTAGGAAATCTCCTGGAATAGGTCCATAATTAGCAAATCTACACTTCTTAAAGAAGAAATCCTCATATTTTCTTCAGTTCCCTTCTTCCCTCAATTTTACCTGTGAATTGTGGTTTGTGTGGCTAAAACAGGATGAACTGAAGACTTCTACACTTAGAGATTAGCACCTGAACCTTATGGCAGCATCCAGGAGCCAGAACCATGCACTTATATCTTTCTATACAGGATTCCATTAGAGAGTTGTTTACTGTCTTAAAGAAAATAGTGCTGGTGTGAACTCCCAGATTTTTCAGAGCTGAGGCACTGGATTCTGCCCTTACAGAGGCACATCCCAGGTTAGTCTCCTGAGGACAGGCACCTGCCATCTGAACTGTGCAGGGCTCATTTTGCTCTATTTGCACTGCAGGCATCATGTGTGAATAAAGGTTTCCACTCTGTTTTCCCACCTCCAAAAGTATACCAGCTTCTCAGTTACAGGTGAGGAGGGTTTGTTACACAAAGAAACAGAAATTCAGGTTTCACCCTGAAAATTAAAATTCAAAGGTGATCATCCCTATCCCTCAATTCCATTTTAGTGGGGTTTTTTGGATTGCAGGTTGTCTGAGGTTGCAATGCAAGATGTAACAAGGAGTATGTATTCTATCACCATCTGTTGAAACCAGGTGGAGCAATATTCTTTATCTTTTCTATGACCCATCCCTCATAACTCCAGGGGGGATATCCTCTATTAGTGGGCCAGCTGTTAA